CCTAAAAAAATTACAAACTGGAGGTACCAAAATTAAACAAGCGAACAGATTTAAATATTTAGAAAAGGTTTTAACAGAACGGAAAATGTGTTACCGAGATTCGAGGGCGCATTGGGAAATCAAAAAAATGCCTTCCAAAAGTTAAGCCAAGTGTTAAGAAACAGGAAAATTTAACTGGAAACAAATAAAATATTACTGAACTATTGTTATATCGGTATTGCAACATGGCAGCGAATTTGAGAGAATCTCACAGATGGAGATGTGACATGAGAGAACAGAAATATGGTTCTACAGAAGCATGCTGAGAATACCATGGACTGAACACGTGAACACCGTATAAATTATTTCGAAAATGGAAAAAGGACACACATCAAGAGACAGTTGAATTATATAGGACATAATGAGGAAAGAGGAATTGGAAAATTTAACTCGCATGATATTTAGAAAGCAAGACGGACAAAAGAAAGTAGCGCGTAATTTTCCAAACGAGCTTGTTTACTAAGGGCTACAGAGAACAGAAAATAGTGGTGAGCCATGATCGCCAACGTCTTCAAGGTTTTATTTTACTGATATAAGTCCTACTAATTAACCCATAGCGGGGATGAGAAGAGGTAGATTCATTCATTTCCCAGCGACATTTGCGCGTAAGGGAATATAAGGAACCAGGCTGGAACTAGGACTCCACACTCCAATTTACAATTACGAGCCGGTATCCATTACACCACCCGTACATCCAAGGTTACAGCACCGTCCCGAAACGACACGGTACATAAAAAAAAGAACTCTTGTCAACCCATCTGAGAAGGTAACAAAAGATAACACAACTATCTTTCAGAAGAAGTTGTTGCAATAATCAACCTATTGATGGTTATGACCTGATACATTGTTAATAGCATAAATGCACGGAAACTAAATGAAAATATATGAGATTATATATATATATATATATACAGATATATAAATAAATATATATATATATATATATATATATATATATATATATATATATATCATGACGATAAACTTTTTTTGTTTTGTTTTTTTTGCACATCAACCTCAATGAGTTTATTAATGTCAACAAGATTTTTTACTGCTGGTAATATTTTTTTTATATGTATTGGTGGTAATAATTTGTATTCAAAAATTTATTGCTGGTATTAATTTTTTTTTTACAAAATATTTCTGGTATTAAAACCTATTTTTACACTTTTAGAGAGTTTTAAACCCAGTTTGGGTTAAATATTTACGCAGGGCAGGGAGCCTAACATGAGATACCAACCCGGGTCAGGGTAGAACACCAGCAATTAAGAGGTGGTTCCACGTTCGACGTAGTCAAACGCAGAACGGATTATGATTACGGATTGGTAAAATATCCAATGCGATTTAAGTAAGGGTGTAAAATCGCTGCTCCGATGACACAGAACGTCAAATAGTTGTGTAATTCCTTGAATCTCTACGTCAGATTTCAAAGTAAAATATCTCAAACTGCAATGACCACATGAATAAAATTCTCCTGCAGCACCTAGAAAATTATCAAGTGTTGACTCCAAATTACTCTTCTTTCTGAAGGAGGTTCTCAACTGCCAGACATCAGTTGAAGGACTTCATCAATAACAATTATATGCTAGTTTTAATTAATTTTCTCCCCTTTGCAGGTCTTCTTTATCTTCGTCTTTTCTCCTTCTCTCTTCATTTGCTAGAAGAATTGTCAGTTTTTAGACTTCCCTTTCAGATTTACCTTTCTTTCTTTTAAGTCTTATTGAAAAAAAAAAAAATCGACATTTGTAATTTTCTTCACATTCAAATATTTTTATAATTCAAAAACACACACAACGAAAATATATGAATGGGTTTCGAAGGAACTCGGCAACAACAGCGAAAATGAGTAGCACGTGTGGCATGGAAAGAAGAATGACATAAACATCAAATCAGATTTGGTCCGCTGTTTCTGTTATGTATTAAAAGATCCTTGATAGAATCCAAAAGAAATATGCAACGTTATCAGCCAACTCAGCTCCAGCCACTCTCCCGTCCACGTAACGTAGCTCCCCGCAGCCTTTTCTATAAATACTTTCATGACAATTAGTCTGAGGTGATTTCATCTTTGGTAGATTGATTTCACGAAATTAAGCGCAATATTAGCTTGGCATTGGGGTACTAGATGGGCGTTGTTGGGTGTAATGGATATCGGCACTGGATGAAGTCGGAGAGGCGAGTTCGAATTACAACCGGGTTAGTGGCATTCACTTACACATAAATACACTTTAGACTTCGTCTACCCGACCAGCAATGAGTTGAATAGCAGGACGGAATGGGCCTATGGGATTGGTTGGCAACCAGTCTATTGCAGAAAAAAAACGGCAACATACTGCTGGAAAATCTGCCTCGTCAGTCATAAATCGAAGGAGACAAGATCTCCCTAGTGGGTATCACGTATGATGCTTAATAGACTGGCTAAATTAGCAGCTAGGTTTCATCATTGTACAGTGGAAATTGCTAGATATAGCCCGATGTTTATACCAAAACTTTCTTCTCCCAAATTTCTCCTTGTCTCTTGATTTCCAGTCCAATTTTAATGAAATGTCAATCGTCATTTTTCCTAATCAATTCCATCCAAGCAAGGGGATAATTCCACTAAGACGCAAGGAACTAATGGGAGTGAAAGAGAATGTCAAGACTTTAGATGAAACCGGAAATCCAATTCTAAAGCGGAAACTGTTAAACGGCTACCCCTGTTCAAAAGACTAGAGAAGAGTGTGAACCGAACGATTGGTGAACGATATTTGCCAGTAGCAGGAGTCGCCATAAAAGTATTTTGTTATGCTAATATTGTGCGTCCTCACCCAGTTGACGAATGGAAAAATGCTCGGCCGATAAAAGTTGTTCTCGAATGGGAAGAGAAATAAAAAAGACAAAATTCCTGTATTTACGACCGCGGCGGTCGAGTTATTTTTCTGACTGGTTACGTGCATTGTGATTTGAGACAGTACCTGTGAATAGAGATTTCGACATTTTCTTTCTACCCCTGATAATTGAGTGAACTTGCAGTGATTTGTTCTCTTCGATACGGAAGTCATCTGCGACAAATATTTTTCTTTGCTATCTAAGAACTCTTAGACATATTTACCATAAACATTGTTTTAAGAGAAAGATTTTATAAATTTCAAGCGACATTAGAACTGTCTGCACGGTTAATGGACGCCACGTACATCCTTTTAATAATAAAAAAAACGTTGATAGCACCATTACCAATTACTGTTTATAATATACTCCTGTTCAAGAAGTTGTCTCATTTTAAGGGGAAAAAAAAGTATTTTCGGAAGAGCCGACTCAGACGAGCACACATTCAGGAGTAGCGTATGATTAAAGAATATCTAACGCACTAGTGCGGACCACAAGGCCTCTGATCGGGAGGTCTTTGAAGAGCGTGGAACCAGCTCTTAATTGCTGTTGTTCCCAGGTCCACGGAGTAGTACCTGTTAGGTTCCAAACATTTGACAAATATTGAGCCCCCAAAACAAAACCCCTATGAAAGTTTAAAATACATTTAATACATTTTAATGGTAAAAATACAGCTCTCTCTCTCCATATATATATATATATATATATATGAGAGAATACATCATCAGCAGTACATTTATATGTAGCTGAAAGCAAAAATCTGCGTTCAAAATATTTAGATTTCGGCATTAAATAATCGATATGTGTTGATATGCCGCTAAGTAAAGCCAATCAATCAAAATAGTTCGGGTAGTGTACCGGTTAACGGTTCGGAAAGTCGAATTCCGGCTCCGTTCCTTATATTTACTTTCGTACAAATAACTATGAGAAAAGGTATGAATCTATCTCTTCCCCTCAGCTAAGAATTAAATACCTAGGCAGAATAGGGCCTCTATACGTCTTTGAGAGACAGTTTCGGTGAAGGGGAGTTCAAGACCATGGTGTGACGAATACTATTTAGGTCTTGTAAAAATTGGATCCACATTCAGTTGTGGCGCGGGAGTTGTGGACTGTGATCTAGACTGCGATCGAATAAAAAAAATGCCTCTACAGGAATAACCTATTAACCTTACTCTGGCAGATGCGCCAAAATATTTCTAGGTGCCGATGTTGAGCAACATTTAGTAAGGCTAGTCAAGTTGACTTAATATTTATTAGCGAGATCAATTCTAAAGTGCTGCCACCATAAAAAAAAAAAATTGACATTGATTTTTTTTTTACAAGGTAATCCTTGTTGAGATATTCAGTCAACCAAAAATCACAATGTATCGACCTGCCGAATTAGGCCCACGTTAAAAATGCCCATATAAATTTAAATGCCATAACCGTTTGAGACATAACCACCGCTTTACCGGTGGTAGAGAAAAATGACGTAATGCCCAGCCACCGGCTGAATGGTGGGTAAACACTTAACTATTTTGATATTTACCATGAAACATTACATACCAATTATTTGCGAAATTTGTCTCAGCTCAGACAGAAGGGTTAAAATTGTTTAGGAACACAGAGCTCCAAGGGTTAATGACAGTGTCATTACTGCAGTTGGCTTAATGTGTCATTGTTCACGAGATGTTTTTTGAAAGCCAAAAAATTTATTGGGCATGAAATCATAAAATGTCTGTGTCTACGGAACATACTTTGAAAGTTTCATATTTGCCCCCAATTAATATTCATCTTTTTATTAATGTCCTCCATCTGATTACCTTTACCCAACAGACATTGCTCAAAATCTGGCCACAAGAGGAAAATAACTTTATAAAAACAATAGAACAACCAGTTTCAGAATGTTTAACAAATAATGATTTACGCTCTTTAATCAAGTTTGTCACCAAGGTCATCGTCCTTACTGTATATTTTTCCTTTTCTGAATTAATATTTCCATCTATAGTCTAATCAACCTAATTCTATTAATATATTCTGTTATGGATACATTTTATGCAATACTATAATATTCGCATATAAGAGCGTGTTACTGACAGATACACACAGAAAGAGGCTTACATTGAAACACCAGTTCTCGTATGTTTACTGAAGTTAAGCAACGTCGAGTCAGGTCAGTACCTAGATGGGCGACCGCTTGAGAATATCAGGTGTGCTGGTGATCGAATGGAAAACTGTCCAGAATTGTACATCAGAGACGTGTTTGAATTCCAATCGGGTTCGTTATATTCAGTTACGCGCAAATATCACCGGAAAAGTTAAGAATCTAGCTCTTCTCATTATCCCCAACATGCAACATGCACTACTTGAAAATGACACAAGAACAGAAATATAACTATCTTGGGAGTGCCATAATAGTAGATAGAAAATTTAACCCTAAGCTGCGCTGGATAACGAAATATGCCTTCCGAAAATTAAATTATTATGAAATGAGTTCTGAATTGACATGTAATATCAATACGCCTATACGGTTTTAAATGCTGGAAAATTTCCTTGTCAATGAAGAGGAGACTTGAACCAACAGAGATATGGATCTACAGAAAGATACTGAGAATATCATGGGCAAAACATGTGAGCAACGTGAAAGTTTTAAGATATTGGAAAACGAAAAGGACACTTGTTTTGGATCAAAACGGAGCAGAATTTTCTGAGACATAGCGAGAATGATCTGTGAGAATTTTAAACTATGACCACTGAAAGCATAAGAGACAAAAGGAAACGAGTAATTTGCCTAACATGGTAAAACCTGAACGGATAGTAAAAAGACAAATATTACCTTAGAATAACGAGGGATATTTTGTGAAGAACAATTCTCCTATTGTTGGCATTTCTGGACTGAAGCTGCCCAGTTCTCGCTTGTCTATCTTTTTCTAGAGTTCAAAAGGGTCTATACGGTCTTGTGGGTGATTAATCATTATCCACCTTACAAAGGCTTTCCCACAGACGAATCGACTCAATCCTTATGTTACATACATCACACGTGTTCTAACGGGCTGCATCCCTTGGTTCCACTATCCCTGACCTTTCAGCTTTGAACGCGCCATGTCACTGACACGATGATTATTACATTCGTATTCCATTAGTAAGAAATTCCACTCGGAAACCCTCTCAAGATCTGTTGCTTTGTGAAACGGACATTCAGCAGGGTGTTTTCTTGATTACAATCTTGATTTCTTCAAGTCAAGAGTTAACCGTTAATTTTCGGAAATAACCACATAATCTACACTTATCTACATACAGTACCAGGCAGTGACCCTCTACCTTTTAAGTTATTTATACTTAGAATTACAAAACCTCGCGTGCAATATAGCCAGTAATGATCCAGTGTAGTGCAATAACATTTATCTGTGAACAAACCTGCTAAATACTGCTTCACAGTTACACTTATTTCAATATTCATATTAAGGACGACATATGCTGAATGATATTCAGCCAGTTAAAAATAGGAGAATTTTTTTTAATGCAGTCAATGTTTGCTTGGGAATCCCAGCCGACGTCATTGGTTGGTATTCGAGTTGTGGTTCCGAATGAAGCTGTAAAAGCTAGACAAACCGCAGTCAGTAAGAAAATTGGCGCAATACAATCTTTCGGTTCCCAGTTTTCTATTTTAATTTTTTTTTAAGTTTATGTTCCCGAATAATGAAATGTTTTCAAGACCAAGCACCCCACTAAAATAGATGACACACACAAACAAAAACCACTGACAGCTAAGGAGAGATTTTCTTCGAAATGAAAAGTATTCTAAGCCTAGATTTAAAAATTTTACTTCCCACAAAATTGTATTCGGGTTTTATTTAACATGCTCTAGGGTGTAATCTTGCGGTAATCTCAAATTAGTAAAATTTCCATTACTTTGAAAAGCAACTAATACACACACAAAAAAGCAGCCAAAACCACGAAACAAAACACACACGGGAATACAGCCCCCCCCCAAGTCACGCCCACAAAAAACATCACCCGCAAAAAAGATCACAAAACACAACTAAAATAAAAAAACAAAAGTATATAAATATGTCGCTCTATTCTTTCAACATTTTTTTTGTGAATTCAGGAAGCAGAACAAAATTTACAAGGTTTATGCTCCCCACTAAGAGTTCCACAAGGGAGAAGTGCGTGAAAGGAAACTGTTAGCATAGAATTTACGGTTACATCTAACCGACTTAATTGGAAACTGATGAGACCTCGTCGCTAGTCTAATACTCCGCTTAAATTCAAGAGTTTTGGTACAATTATGAAGGTCTAATCCGAACAATTAAAGTATTTCTAGAAAACACAGGTGAGACAACTGCATGACGGTGGGAGAAATGACTGAAGCTGAGACGCCAAAACAGGCCATTAATATTGCAGCTTCTTTAAATTTTATTAAGGAGCTCTAGATAGATAGCAGGAACACCAGACCATATGTGGTAGTGATATTCTAATCAAGGACAAATTGTAACTTATAGATATACATGATAATGGAGATAAAAACTGTCAAGCACGACAGTGAACATACATGTTTAACAGCTGACAAAGCAATGGTTTCAATATAATCTTTTCACGTCTTATCAAACGCGGACGTTAACCTGAGAAGGCTTCATTCTTATCTAGAGCTTAACTATTTCCGCAATTATAGTCAGTAATAGTCCATTTGTGCTTTACGATTTAAAAAAAAAATGTTTCATCGACTCATCTTTGAACAGAAATCTTTTTCTCGGTAATTATTTGTTTGAGGCTAATATTTAGTGCGTATTAATTTTCGTTTTTATCTTTAAATAATGGCGTAACTACTCAGATTGCCAATCTACGACCATTAATAAGCAATCCTGGTCGGAAATTAAAAGCAATACCTCTGGGAGATTAGATCCCATATCTCTTTCACCTAAGAAAGCTGTTTTTTTTCCGTAGTAGCTGCTTTAGTATTTAAGCTATGCGAACTTTTTCTTAAAAAGCAAAATCGAACCATTTGAACTTTAGCTTTATCTGATTCAACGGCGCCATATTGGCTTCTATTTCTGTTATGTAAAATAGTCGCAATAGTACAATTGAATGTTGAGAAGACAAAATATTAACCATCTGACGTACACGAAGAAAGGCGGAAAACTCAACCATAAGCATAACAGCCTAAATAATTTATGAAACTTATAAAAATTCCGATACTGGTAAACACGTCTTTCATGACCGTAAAACTCAATTGTGATGCACTAATTTTTACTTGCAAAACGAATAAAAGTAACTATCATTTTAGAAAAAAAATAAAGATCAGAGAATTTTGCTAACAACATCAAAAATCTTTTGTTGTTTAAACGGAAGTGTCTGAATAACAAATCATATACATTCCTTCTCATTTATCTTTTATTTACACCACCTTTTGAAGATCTTTCAGGCTCCACTCGATAGAAAGAAACCTGAAATAATTCCAGCAAGGGAGAGTATCCTTTTACTAATATTGCATGCCGCTGCTAATTGATATGTGGTTACCCGAATTTTTAGTGGAACTATTCTTTTGTTTATGCGGAAATTTTTTAAATGCATTATTGTATGCCTTGTTATTCAGATCAGCAGGTTTATCTTCGTTGTAATACTCACTTTCGGCTATTGTACTTTCCGGCCTTTTTTAGGTGACTGTCTTCCTATTCAGATCAGCAAACTAATCAAGGTCTATGTATTAAGGAAGGTTGAACAGCCGAGGCCTGATATATTCAGGGGTCTGTCTGTGTAGGCCAGTAGAAATTTCGAAGCAAACTCTTTTAAATCACATAGGGAGATTTATCTCATGAGGCTTCAAATGTTCTCAAGCTATTTAATATCAGTTAACACTAATTCATCTTATTTATATTTGAATCGCATGTGTGTCTCACCAAACGAGAGTATGCGAGTTTTCAGCCCTAGTAAACCTTGGGGTTTAATTAATTAATTGATAGATAGATAGATATGATTTTACGGCTTATCAACCTTGGGCATGTAAAAGAGAGAAAATTTCTTCGATTGTAAAATATTTTTTGAGATGGTAATGATTTGCTGATACAAGTTCTAATAATTAACCCATTGCTAGGGTAATTTATACCTTTCCGTAGGATATTTGCGCGTAAGGGAATATAACGAACACAGTATCTGTCTATAACTCCGAGATGAGGTATTATGATTAATTTATCTGGACTGTTATCCTCATCTTTATTTCCATATACATTCCATATTTCCGTTGTGAGCTCCGGCCTTCATCAGGTGATTGAAATTTCGAACCGAACCCTTTATTACATCCAACGGGGTATTTTTCTAGTTCCACGTGCCATGCATCGTCCGGATGTTTCAGTTACTTCCCCTTAACCCACCTCTCCAAGTTTTTGGTTTCATCACTTCTGTAGCCTGGTATTGAACTCACAACTCTTTGGGTCTAGTCACTGGATCTAACCAACGCCTTCATCCACTGGACCATGTGTTCTTTGGGCATGGAAATAAAGGATTTGGTTCGAAATTCCAATTACCTGAAGAAGACCGAAGCGTACAGCATTTGGTATTTCGAACCAGCCACCTACCTAGATACTGACCAGGATCGACTTTGCTAAACTTAGATGATTGTACGGAAACTGGTATAGCAACATGATATGGCCATAATCCAGAGCATAAACGATGAAAGTATAAATGATATATTCAATCGGAACTAAAATTTAACATTCACGTCAAAACAAAAATATATTTACTTTAAGACGATGCGTATTTTCTTATAATTTCAACAAATGGACACTTTTCAGGTTAAAAACACAAGCAAAAAAATTAAATCTCTTTGTTGGTAAGGAAAAAATGGTAATGATATAACAGGCTGGAATCGTCTTGTTTTCAAATCTGAACAAAGAAAACATCCCTACGTGTTCTTGCAAAAAATATTATCTAAAAAAAATAAATGAAAAATTTAAAAAATAAAAAAATAAAAAGTAAAAAAAAAATCAAGTCTTTATTATCATGATGAAGGAACTATTTGGAAAAGATTGGTCAGCTTTCTTGTGGAAATGAAAGGTAATTATTTAACTTTGGGGAGAGAGTGGGATGAAATTAAGTTGAATATGAGGTTAATGAAATGACCTTATGGCATCTTGGCAATAATATCTTGTGTCATCTCTTGCCAGTGTCGCACATTTCCTCAGAACAGCTATGAAAGTATTGAATGTCCATTTTTC